GGACATGTCTTGGTCAAAAATGACTCCAAGGTTCCTTAAAACATGTTGAATCTTGAAGCAGGTGGGCTACAGCAGCAGGTGACCACACACTGTCACTGCTGCCAGCTAGGAACAGGAAACTGAGACTATCATTTGCACGAAGAAGTGTTCAAGTCATGAACACCAATTGCATGCAAGATTATTTCATCTTTATGCAGGTTGGAAGGAGCCAGGATAACATATCATTCAGTCCAACTGTCCTTTGTAAATAATTACTAAAGTTGTCGGATCAGTTTAGTTGAGTAAAAAGTAGGAACAGTTGCTGTGATATGATGTAATACAATTATATTATATTATGTATTATAATTATTTAGTTGCACAAACTGGAAAAAAAGGACAACAAGCAAGTTTTAAGTACAGTGCTTGACACTGACTGGAACAATACGTCACTCTACATCACACTTTTCCACCCAGGATGTGTAAACAACTGACAACAACAATGAAATGCTGTTATAATATGTCATCTGTTTTTTCTGCATTTTCCTGATCTGCATTACTTAATGTGACCAGTTTTCTTTGTTTTTGTTTGTGTTTTTTTGCAGACATGTGAAGCCTCACCAACCAGCTTCTCAAAAGAAACATGCCGCAAAGCCCTCAGAAATTTGCAAAGGCTGCAAGTGAGAGAAAAGATAACAGTCTCAGAATTTCCCTGAGAAACCTCTTTGTTTATGCCATCGTCAAAAATGAGCTGTGCAAAGTCAGCTGTGCAGATATGATTCTGTTGACTGTGTGTTTGTGTGTGTCACAGGGAAATCATTAGCAAGGTACAAGAGCGTTACAATCAAACCTGGAAGAAGCAGGAGGAGAATTACTTAAAATTCAAGTAAGAACCAATTTGCAAACACTTTCAATTTTTTTCTATAGAAATTACAAATCAAAGTAAAACTTTTTACTAAATAGGAGTGTGTGTGTCTGCTCGAGTAAATTTTTAATTAAAAATAAAATACAATTAAAGTCACAGATGAGCTCTGCAAGCATAATATGATCCCTACCATAATATATTCAAATAGTGTATCGATAGCAGGATTTTTTTATGCAAAGATTTGATGGAGGTATCAGCCTATCAGGTATCAGGTGTCATCAGCCTCATGTAGGAGTCAGTGAGCCAGTAGCTTAAACCAAAGGAGCCCTGTAATGAGGGACGATGACTTTGACATAATATCTCTGTAGGCACAACAAAGAATACTTGAGATATTTACCATGTGGGTAAATATCTCTTTAAGACTATATAACTGAGACTTTCTATTAGCTCGAGCTGCATAAAACATTAACAGGAGTTGTTGTTGTATTTGTTACCTACAGCTGAAAGAAAGATTTTTTTATACCGATTACTAAAGCTAACTGTGTTGTAATACACTGCTCTTTTATTTTATGCTCTTCTTTTCCTGTTTAACTTTTTATTGATCAATGTTAGCTCCTCCCCTCGCTCGCCTGTTGTTTGCTCTCCTGCCCTGTGGGTGTACTGATGTCTCATCTCTCTCTGTCTATTTACTCACACTGAACTATTTCACTGAACACATCAATGAACATGAAGAGAATCA